CCTCCTTAGAGGTTATGTATGTTATGCTTTAACAGATAATAATAATGTAACAATAAATGGTAGTGTCAACATGAATAAAGAAGGTGTATCGTTATTAGCAAATATAGGTTCACAAATAGGTGTTAGTGCATCAATAGGTAGTATAGGAACAGCAGTAGCAAAAGCTATTTAATCATCAGCAATACCACCAGCAAATTAAGCTATAATAGTAATAGCAGAGGGTTTAGCAGGGGGTTTAACTCAAGTAGTAGCAACAAATATGTTAAGAAGACCTAGTAGTAATATAAGTAAAGATATAGATATCAATGATCCTTTCTTTGTAGATTCACCATATGAAAATATGAAAGTATTATTAGAATGTCTATTGGGTTTTAATCTGATTTGTATTGTAATGTTAACAATAATAACAATTTTTATATTTAGTCATTTTTTATTAAAATCAGAGAAAATAGATTCAATTAAATTAGATTGATTTTAAAAGATTTTTAAATTTTATAGTAAAAGTACTGTTATGAATGCTTTACTTGCAGTAGGAGTTGTATTTTTTTGTTTAATAGTTACGAATTTTACCTTGACACATATTTTAATTAATTTAGATTTATATTATCAATAAAGTACCTAATTTTATTTTCAGCTTCTGTATAGTTTATTCCCAATTTACGTACTATTTAAATGGAGATATCAGGATTCGAACCTGAGAATCTGACGTGCAAAGTCAGTGTTTTACCAAACTGAACTATATCCCCATTAAGTTACAACCATCCTTTTTTCATATATAAGGTAGACTACCATTATTTATCTAAAAGTATACCTCATAAATATTATTTAATACCTCATTTATATTATTCAATATTAAATAACAATTACTTCTTTATTTGCAATTATATCGGAAGGATTTATATTAATCTGTTCTACTATAATTTATGATCATTTTACTATTCTATCATTACTTTCGTTATAATGTTTATTCTTATTATATTGTTATTAACTTCTTTTATTCTTTATTATTTTTTTATATTTTTCACCTTTTATTTAATTTTTATTTACTTAATTTTTCTATTACTTTTTATACCCTTCTTATTTATACATTTTAATAGTTAATTTTAGAATATTTTTAATTACATATTTAAACATTTGTAATATATAGATAAAAAAAGGATTTATAAATAGATAATAAAAAGATATGTTAAGAATAAGAAAAATAATATTAGAGAAATAAGTTAAATATGATGAAATTATATTAGTGAATAATATAAAAAAGTTTAATAATAAGAATAGATTTTAGACGATATAATATAAAATAATATATTCAACTTTATATCTATTATATTCTATAACTAACTCTATAAATATAACCTATAAATTTACTAATTCTTAAAATACTATAACTCTATTCTACTTACTCTACTATACCTTTTAAATTTTGGGTATTAAATTAATATCATATTAATATTATCTATTATAAAACTCATATCTATGTTGTCTAATAATGTTGGTTATAATTTGAGGTTATTTATAGGAATTATAATTAATTATAGGTAAATAATATAAAATAAATATTAAGAAGTGTTATTAGAAGAAGAATTGAAATAGATTAGTAAGTAATATTAGAGATACCATAAATATTTGTAGTTAAACCATAAGTACCTATTGTAGTAGGAGTTGAATTAGTTAAATAATAAATATTACAAGTTATATTGGTAAGAATAGAATAAGAAAATTATAATAAATTATTGGTTGTGGTAGAATTAGAGATATAAGTAAAAAGAATAATAAACTATACATTAAGTATAATTGAGTTAGTATTTATAAGTAAAGTATAAAGTGTTATATTAATAGGTAATAGAAAAGATACAATAGATATTAGTAGTTATAATACTTAAAGTATTTTTGGTAGTAAATATACTTAATATTTTATAGAAATGATTAAAAGTTAAAATATAAGATAAATAAGTGTTAAATATGTAGAGTTATTAAAGTATAAGTAAAAGTAATAGAAATAATATTAAGAATATTATAGAGTAAGTAACATTAATAAGTTATATAAGTTTAAATTAAAATTTAATTAGTACGATTAGTAGAAGTATTTGTTCAGTACTATAAGTTATAAAAGTATTAGTATTAAGTAACGATGAAATTAGTAAATTATTATAAATAATTTTAATAAGTAACTAGTATAGATGAAAAATATATATTTCTTTATTTCCTAAATTTTATTTTTAAAATGTTAATTACACTTCATATTCTATACATTTGTAACTAAATATTAGGGGATAATTGTGTATATTTAAATGGTAACACTATTGTTCTGTATATAATTTATTAATAATCTTATATTCCCCTTACCTTTAAATTATTGTGTTTATATTAAACCTTTTATGTTCACCCCATCGATATTGTAAACCTCTCCTTATATGTAATTCACTTTTGGATGTAATATACCTTCCTCTACTGCTCATATAAATATTAATCTTAACTCTCTAATTAAATTAAATGAAGTTGGTAGTTAAAAATGATTTATGGATACATAAATATTTATTTGGTTGTTGATATATTTAATATAAGAAAATAGGATAATAGGTAAATATAAAATGTATATAATAAAAGTTAATAGAAAGTATAAAGGTAAGCTAAGATTTAAATATTATCTCGGAATGTTGGTATTTAATTTTAATATTATTTCAATATAAGGAGTATAAAATATATATAAAAAGTATAGAGTATAGGTAGTATATATATAGAAATTTAATATTTAGTATAAAGTTATGATTATAGTAGGTGTTTAAATGGTGTTAGTATTGGTTAGTTAAAATGAATAGTAATTTAATTTTCTACTTAATTATTTAAGTTAATAATTATAATTGAGAAGAATTAAATATTTATATATTTTGTTGTATAAATATTCTATAATTACATTTAATATTATAAGTATTTGTTGTTAATAATATTTTTAAATTAGTTTTTAATCTAGAAGATTTTGTATATGTTTGATTTAAATATTGAATATTTTACCCTTAAATTATATTACTGTTATATATTTAGAAGATATATAAAAATTAAAGAGTATATAGGTTTAAAAAGGTAAATTAGTTAATAAAGTATATTAAATTAATAATTATATTAGAAATGTAAGAGTTTTGATTAGTAATAATATTAAAGTAAAGTAAGATATTATAAATAGATGAATAATAATTGAAGAATAAGTATAAAATAATAATGTAACTTTAAAATATTTTTTGTAATATTGTATACGACTAATATTAATTTTAAGTACTATCTTATATACTATTTCACTTTATTTATTTAAGAATTAATATATAAAGTACTAAAGGCATTTTAATGGAAGGGTAGAACAAATATTTTATGAGTAGTTATTATAAAATACAACAAGGTATAAATAATACATAACAGTATACTTTAATTTTTAGTAGAAATAAATATTACAAGAACGAAAGTATAAACAAAGAGATGATAAGACATGATACAGTTGTATTTATACTTACTATAAAAGTAGAAAGAAGAACGTATTAAATGTTAATGGATAGTTTAAAGTGTATGA